AGTAAAGCGCGGGAATGTACTAAGGAACAAATCGAAGACGCCCTTAAGCGTGTTAATGTCCTGTGATATAATGACTATTTATTGAGAAACTTTGGTTGAAAACTCTATCTACAAAGCGCACTTCATTATAAATTATTTATAGTTATCATTGTGTTTGCTGATTCGACTGTATCAAATTTTTTAGGTGATTGATAATGATTTTTAAAAGGAATAAATTCTTGGAGTTTTCAAACTTGCTCATATCATCGCAAAAAAAAGGTCGGAAATCTGGGTTCAGGTAGGAACTGTTTGAAAGGGGAACTTTTTCGCAAAAGAAAAGCTGGAAGAGAAATCTCGAATTCTCCTACAAAAAAGGAGCACAGCAGTGGAGAGAGAAGAAGCATTAGGAAGTTGAAGGCATAGAAATATGAAATGAATGTAGTGAAGTGCAGAAAAAGAGCAGCAAAGAAATAAAGAAATAAAAATCCATTTCATCGTGTGAGAAAAAAAAGGTTAATCGGGTGCAAAAGACACCAATGTAGCGCAAATAGAACTTCAAAAAATAGCTTCAAAAATCTGAAAATGAACTTACTCTGACTCAGATCCACTGTCTGACATGTAGTCGTATTCCCTTCCTTCATCTTCGCCATCAGAAGACTCATATGCTGCAAATTTTGTTTTCCAACGTAGCAAACGATACCAGAAGATGTGCTGAACTTACGAGCCACTTCATCGCCATTTTCCACTCTTTGACGCTTGTCTTTTTTTGGTTTTTCATGCGCTTTTTTCTTTTTCAGTACACTATCCTTTTTCTTTTGAGCTCCCTCCTCATCATTCCGATCATCTTCCGAACCATCGGAGTCGGAGGAGCTGTACCCGTCTTTGATTTTCTGTAGATAAGGCATTTAGAGAATGAATGAATTTTAACGCAAAAATGTTACAAAAAAGAGATCAAAGTTTACTAACTAATGTCCTTGCTGGTTTCTCTGATTGTTCTCCGTCTTCCTCACCCGCTTTGAGTTGACTCATAATTTGCGCCTTCAAGGCGAACTGGTTCATAACTTTGTTACGTCTAAATCAAATGCTAGGCTCCAATTTCTCCACAACGAAACGTGACAGATCCACCATATCCCAACACAGTTTGAAAGAGTATACAAATTTCAAACTTACTCTAAAAACTTCTCTTCCGCTTGATCTATATCCAGGGTTTTATGAGTGATAGCAGGGAGGAATTTGTGCCAATCATCTACCTAAATGCACAAAGGTAATTTTGTTTAAATGCAGACAAAATTCACGCGAGAATTATCCAAGTAATATTTCATAAAGCAAAACTTCAGACTTACCTTATAAGCCAAAAATTCTTCACCGGACTTTAAGAACACCCAATAATCTGCATGTTCACCGGCACCTCCCTCCCGTATACTCTTCATCTTCCGAGTTCGCCCATCTAAATTTCACTAATGACCAATACAATTACGAAGGACATTTGTTATTCCACCTGATTCAAGGAAAGATAAATGCCATGGTTGATTATCCAATTTATAAGATTTAGCCTGCCGTCCATATTTTTTTCGTC